AGAAGAAGAAGAAGAAGAAGAAGAAGAAGAAGAAGAAGAAGAAGAAGAAGAAGAAGAAGAAGAAGAAGAAGAAAAAAGTGGTGGTGATGATGATGATGATGATGATTTCTTCTTTTTCTACTACTACTACTACTACTACTACTACTACTACTACTACTACTACTACTATTTTCTCCTCTTAGTAGAAGCTTAGCACATCTATTTTGCTTGTTGCTTGCTTGATGTCTATGGTGATTCTCAATCATCCAGATTATGGTTGTCCCAAAGGTGCATTTTTCTTTTTTTCAAGAGGCAACTGGACTTTCTGGTTTTTCTTTGAAGACATTTCACTTCTCATCCCAAAAGCTTCTTCAGCTCTGACTGGATGGTGGGGAATTGTTGCTTGCTTTTTAAAGAAAGCTATACAATTGGATAACCAAATTTGGCAATACGCTACTAACATTTGATGGAACACCAAAAAATACAAACAGAGGACCTTGGCTGAAATTGTTACCTTATCTTGCCTGTCCAGTGCACATCCTTCATGGATAAGAGCTGAGATAACATCTGTGTTCCCTACAACAGTCGCCCGATGCAAAGCTGTTTGATCACCCTGCAAAGAGAAGCAGTGATGTTTCTATTTAATGAAGCTATGTTACACACAGTGAGATAGAACTTTTCATGGGGAGAACATACTAAGGGACTGGAAAAGACATTCAGCCCACAGATAGGTAGCAAAGATATATACTCTAGCTGTAACAGTCACAGGCCTGATTTACACATTCCGCTAAGTTATAATGTGGTTTAGTTGTTTTTAGTCACAGCAGGTGGCAGCACATGATCAAATTTGGTTGATGGAGAGACTTTTAGGATGAGAAGCTTTCAGAAAATTTTAGAGCAGTAGGTGAGAATGGGAAGTTCTTTAAAAAAATTTAAAGAAAAACAACACACACGGAGCTAGTTTGGTTTAGCGGTTAAGCATAGAAACCAGGAGATGGTGAGTTCTAGTCCCACCTGAGGCATGAAAGTCAGCTGGTGGAGTTGGGCCAGCCACACTCTCTCAGCCTGACCACCTCATCACAGGTGGAGAAAATAGGAGAAAGGGGGTATTAAGTACGTATGTTCACCGCCTTGAGTTATTTATAGAAATAAAAAAAGGGAAGAGAAAAACCACTTCCACGCCTTTTAAAACTAAAATATATGAACAGCTCACTAAGGTCACCAGGAAAGGACTCAACTCAAGGATCTATTTACTTTAGTGTAAAAACTGAATTCAAAACATTATAGTTTATAGATCATAGTGCAGCAGTCCTCAACCTTTCCCATAGAAGATGGTGACAGAGTGATGGCTCTTTAATAGCACCTGATTTTCCATTCCTTTTAGTTCTTTTTTTACTTTTAATCAAATAATTTGTATTTTTTTTCTTAGTTTTATGCCATTTCTCACCTTCCTTTTATTTTTCTTTATTTTTTAGCAAGTAGAATTAATATTTAAATTATTATTATTATTATTTTAGTAATTAGAAATAAGATGCTTTCTGATCCCGGACTATTGGCATGCTAACTAAGGGTACAAAATTATAAAGCAGGAACAAAAGAAGAAGCTGGAAAAAAATGAAAGGGAAATGCAAGCCAGAGATTCAGATTCAGCAAAGACAAAATCCCAAACAATATAAGACTGAGATGGCCTCTGGGCAACCAAAGATAAAAAGACTTAATCCATCTTAAATGCATTGTATTTAAGTCTCCTCTTCTTCTTTCTCTTTTCTTTCAACTTTTAATTATTATTCCTCATTAGACTGGGAAGTGAATGACCTCCCTTCCTATATATATATATATATATATAAAATAAGAATACAATGGTTAAAATTTCGCACCATGCATACTGTTAGAATGGGGCTGGATACTAATCAACAGCCCCAGGCCTGCCGGAACAGCCAGGTCTTAATCGCTTTACGGAAGAGTAGTAAGGGTCCGGATCTCTACGGGGAGATCGTTCCATAGGGCCGGAGCAGCTACAGAGAAGGCCCTCCCCCGGGGAGTCGCCAACCGACATTGACCGGCAGACGGAACCCGGAGGAGGCCCAATCTGTGTGATCTTATTGGTCGTTGGGAGGTAAATGGCAGGAGTTGAAATTCTAATAAGTTTTTTTTTTTATTTATCTATCAAATTTTTAAGACCTGTCTACTTCATAGGCATCAGACAGAAGGGAGGTTGTGCTTTATACCTAGAGTAATTTACATGGAGGCCTGGATTTGGTTGCTAAGAATTGCCCTTTAGCAGCACAAACAGACATTGCTACACATCATCAGCCAGTAAAAAAAATATGAAATCAGCCAGTGGAAATATGGGGTGCGGGGGATGACTTTAATGGAAAACTATATTTCCAAGCCAGCTATAAAACTAACTAGCAGCTCATAAATTTCAAAACTTACCTCTAACCCAGGGATCTCAAACTCAAGAGTGCTTAGATCTGGCCTATGGGGCCACCTTGGAAAAAGTGCTGCTGCCGGCAAAAATGGTGCTTGGGAGGGCCACGCGCTGCCCTCCTGAGCTCCATTTTTTGGCTGTGATGGCCTCCAATAACCCTTTGCACATGGCCCTTCCAAGCTGGCAGAGTGTGCGGGCTACTGCGAGTGGCCCCGACATGAGTGACATTGAGCTGGCCATGCCCCCCCCCCTGGCCATGTCCCCCACCCCGAGGTCAAACAAAAGCCTGATGTGGCCCTCAATGAAATCGAGTTTGACACTCCTGCTCTAACCCATGGACTATAGAGATTTCTTTCCAGTTAAAGAAGCCACTGAGAGAAAACTAATTTTGCAGAGACACGGGATCTTGCTTCAAGCTGCCGAAACTCCTTTGAAGGGGAGCAGGTGGCACAACAGACAAGCAATATTACTTCTCTTTGTTGTAAAGTGTGCTCTAATGCGCTTAGAGAAATCTCCTGCCTTCCCGGCAGACACGGCTCTAAAAGGATAATGCTAACTTTTAGGCAGTTTATTTTCTGCTTTTCAAACTTAAAAACTTTTTAAGCAGGTTTTATATTCTGCCAATACTTTCTTTATAACAGTTGTATCCAGCCCTTGCTAAATTCTGGGAGTAGAGCCAAGCCGGTGAGGGAGGATAGCAGAAGACTATAGAGCTCCTAATCACAACCATCCACTATGTGTAGAACAGAAGAGTCCTTTAACGTCAAGTCAGAACAGGACAAATCCAAGGAAAGAAATACCCTGGATTTAATTAAAGGAAAGATACAGGCTTCAAGTGACTTTTTTTGAAATGAGAAAGTCTTAGCTCAGCTATTTGCCACTGTCTCTCCAAAGAAAACACAACTGATCTTAAGCAACCTTCAAATAGTTAAATTTATGGTTCAGTCAGCCACCATTGAAACTGGGTCTCCTAACCCAAGGGTTATCAACCTTTCGCACCTCAGGGATCACTAAATTCATAATTTTAAATCCTGTGGACCACTAATGTGAATTAGTGACAGGATGGGGTTCTTCAGGCACTTAGCTTGTTAGCGGAGAGAAGCGCCTGTGGTCAACCCCAATTTTGCTGTCCACTGCACCTAGGAATCTCAAATAGGGCCAAGAATGAATGTTTGTGTTGTAACCAGCCCAGGTGCTAGATTGGCCCCCTGCAAACTCTGTCTTTTGAGGAGTCTGGCCAAAGTTTCATGCACCGCTCACTGAAGCGCCTGGATTCCCAGGGAGGGAGTGAGGGAAGGGGTGGAGCTACTAAATAGGCAGCCAAACTATGTGCCTGAAGGACCCCATCCCATCAGCAGGTGGGAATAATTGCTTCGGTGAATGAAATCCAGCCCAGGGTCCGTAGTATGAGGATCCCCAATTTAGCGCAATATAAAAAAATGCAAAGATTTTTCTGTGACCACCAAAATTTTCTCGCGGACCACCAGCGGTCCATGGACCACCAGTTGATGACCACTGTCCTAACAGCTTATTTCCTTCTAATTGCTCCTCTGAAATGCTGCTAAGCCCAGCCTCTGAGAATACAAAATCCCCAATAAATAAAAAAGGTGTTCCAATCCAAAGCAAAACTATACAAAAGGAAAAAAAAACAACCAGCGGTTACAGTAGCATAATCTTCATATAACTGTTTGCAAATAAGTCTGTAGTTGATGATCTATTACGAGTGGGCCCTGAGAATCTGTCTGAATAATTTACTGAAATGTTTCTATCAGCTATCCAGCATGGCGATCCCATTCCCCAAAGGTGTGCTACATCTATACCTTGCCATTCATCACTGAAAAGAAAATTTATCTACAAGAGGTATGAATTGGAATGATTTTCTGTTATGTGCCTTCAACTGGATCTAATTTTGCCCTGAGTTTAATGATGCCAGCAGTAGGTGCTGGGCCCACAGGCCCAGAGCTTTGAGTAGCAGATTGGAGTTTGGTGAACACTCACTTCTATCAGAAAGAACAGTGACAATCACAATTAAGAAAGAGAAAAGCTGGAGTTTATAATAACTGTGCCTATATGGGAATTATTGACAATATTGCTCCAGAAACAAACTGTCTACCTGAATCTTCATCTTCTATGCAACCATCCCATTCAAAATGCTTTGTCTCAAAGAGATCTATACGAATTGTAACCTGAGGTGTAGCTACTTGGAAAAAATCTGTTGATGGTGCTTTGATGAAATCATGTCTGAATTTAAGGTACAAGCAGTCTTTGGCTTATGACCATTTGTTCAGCAACCACTAAAAGTTAAAACGACATTAAACAAATGGTCATAAGTGCAGGGCTATTTGTATCTCACTCCTATGTGGTCCTGTGATCAGGATCTGGCCACTTGGCAACTGGCTCACACAAATGATTGGTTGCAATGCCCTGTGATAACCTGATCACCATTTGTGACATTCCTTGCTGGCTTCCCCAGAGAATCAATGGGGAAACTGGCAGGGAAGGTCACAAGTAGTAGTGAAACTCATCAGTTCCTACTAATATACATGGGGATAAAATTACACACATATTCTTGTCTGATTTTGACACAAACACTCTTAAGGAAACCATATTCCATTTTTTTAAAAAAATGATAGATAACCTAAGAGAAGTTCAATTATTTTTTATTACTGGGCCTTGTATAACTCCTTACTATAAAATAGCTTAGCCTGATTACTAATTCATAACAGAAGCTGACTCGCTCACTCACCCAATAGATTTTTGTGGTAACAGTAACTTTAATCAGATCAGCGCATGAACAAAAAACCAGCATTATGCTGACATTAGAGAAAGACAATGTCTGCTCTGGAAAAATTTCCCTCCAATTAAAAAGAATTTCAAGTCACACAGCAGGAAGTTGCTTTAATAAGCAACACTGATAGTTTCTGCCCACATCAAAGCAGAAAAGCCTACAAAATAGTTAGTCAGCCCAGCTTTCTGTGGCAATGAGGCCTTCAAGATGACCTGGCGATTGCAATACAAATTATCTAGGACAGGAGAATGCAAAGAGTTGGATATAAAGAAGTATAATATATTTTTTTAAAAAATTATGAATAAAAGAGTAATACAGGTGGTTCTTGCTTAATGACTATTCAAAATGGCAATGGTGATGAATGAGTGGTATTTATGACTGGTCCTTGTACTTATGGTGGCCGCATTCTGTGGTCACGTGATCATTATTTGCGACCTTCTTTGCCCGCTTCATACTGAAATTAATACTCTCATATTTATAAGAAGGGGAAATAGCAACCCAGGTTTGGTTTGGTTTTTTAGTGCATGGCATAGATAGCCAGGGAAATCTACAATGCCTTTTAACCACAGTCTTCATTCACTGGAGAAGAGCCTAATGCTGGGGAAGAGTGAGGGCAAAAGAAGAAGGGGACGACAGAGAATGAGGTAGCTGGATGGAGTCACTGAAGCAGTCAGCATGAGATTAAATGGACTCCAGAGGATGGTAGAGGACAGGAAGACCTGGTGGAACATTGTCCATGGGATCACAATGGGTCGGACATCACTTCGCAACTAACAACAGTTCAGTCTAAAATTTCCAGTTCATTTTGTTCACACATGCACGCTATTCATAGTGCATCACAGGGGGCAAACTAGCTTTACCCCAGGTGGCTAGCAGC